TATTGTCCAGGCTCCTTCTCTAAAACTTTAAAATAAACTTTCCCTCCTGCTCTGAAACTTGCTGCGGTCTCTGACTTTGCCTTAGACCTCTTGGCTGAATTCTTTTTCCTGAGGAGGCAGGAATTGGGATTGCTGCAGACCCGCGTGGATTCGCTGCTGTTGCTTCATGACTTGGATACAGTCCCTCTGGTAACACCTCCCCTCCCCTCTCTGCTTCCCTCCCATACCCCTTCTCTCCCCTCTCCTCCCTCCCCTCTCCTCCCCTCCCCTCTCAAAGGTCAAACCAAACCGTGCCTCATGAAGCCTTGCTGGGCCTCCCAAGAGAGTTCCTGCCTGATTGGCCTCTGTCATGGGGAGAACCCTGGGTGGACCTTGGCTCTGCAGCCATTTTCCTGGAAATCATGCTGGCGCTGGGAAGCATCCATGTTCTGCTCCCAGGAAGAAGGAACTGGAGCTGAACGCGGGCATTTTATATCACTACCGGAGAGCTGCGTTGAGAATGGGTTTTAGGAGCGCTGAGCTTTGGGAAGGCACTGGGGTTGGGTCCTGCTGCCCTGCTTTCTCTCCCCTGGCCCTTCTCAGGAGGACAGTGGCCAGCCCATGGAACAGTTGCGGAAGCCAAACCTACCTACCTCATCGGGCCTCGGTTTCTCCAGCTGCCCAATACCAGAAGGAGTCCTCGGCCTGGCTTCCTCCTAGGAGGAAGGGGCGGGGCTGTCAACAAGTCAACAGTGTCCCGTGGGGCTGGGGCAGGCTGGGGCACCACCTGATGGCGCATGTCTGGTCTGCTGAGGGTCCCCAGGCTCCCTCCTTTGCAGGAGGGGACTCACTGAGAGTGGCTCCTGGTCAGTTGTCTTGGCCATTCCATAGTCCCGGAGGAGGTCAGCAGGCTTCAGTCAGGGTGGCGAAGCTGAGTGAGCCACTGCTCCTCTTGGGGAAGGCTGAGTGGCAGCAGGGACCCCAGTCTTAAGGCCTCAACCTCTGTGCTCGATTCTCTAAGACTCAATTTCCTTATCTGTCAGCACGGGACACGAGGGCCCCACCCCACACGGTGAGTGAGGAGGGCATCCCAGGGGGAACTAGAGGCCCCGGGAAGAGACCCAGGTCTGGTGACAGGCTGAGAAGTGAAAGGGAGAAGCTGGGTGAATGTGGGGTCCTGGGAGCCAGGGCCGGAGCAGTGGGAAGTGCAAGTCATCGTGCAGAGGGAAGCAGCGGGGTGCTGGGGGAGGGGCTAGGGGACCCCCCTAAGGTCAACCCTGCTTTTGTCACCAAGGCTAGCAGCTGCAGCCATGCCCCTGGCCAGGCCTACTGCCGTGGCCAGGCCAACCCACCCGCAGGCCCTGTGCCCCTTGTGATCCCCCCATAGCCTCCGCCTTGCCCAGGTTACTCTCCTGCCTTCAACTGCTCCTCCTCCAGAGAGCTTCCCTCTGGGTACCCTGTACGCTCAAGAACCTCACGGCCAGCGACGCAGCTCCCCCTGTCATTCTCTGGCCCGTGCTAAATTGGCCTCTCCTTTGGCCCTCCAGGGAGCAGGTGGAGGTTTAATTAGTGGACTAAACAATGTAATGTAAAAGATTGGGAAATTTTTTTTTCAAGATGAAAAGGAAGATACCTCCCATTTCTTCATCTAAACTCCTTGGTCTGGAAGTCCTTTCTTGTGTCCGACTTAAATACATCAAGCTGAATTGTGGACGCTGAGCAACGCTGGAGGAGAAGCAGAATAACACCGTGCTTAGTGAAGGCCTCCTAGCTTCACCACTGGCTGGCACATGACTAGACCTCTTCGCCTCGGTTTCCTTATCTGTGGAAAGGGGATAGTTAGTACCACGCTGTTAGGTTGTTTGATAAAATTGACTAATGTATACAAAACACTTAGAACAGCACCTGGCACTGGTGGAAATCAACAGACATCAGCTGTCTACCCAAAAGAATTGAAAGCAGAATGTGAACAGATATTTGCATCCCCTTGTTATTTGGTTTCTTTGTTTTTGTTTTGAGACAGGGTCTTATTCTGTTAAGCAGGCTGGAGTGCCGTGGTGCAATTATGGCTCGCTGGAGCCTCAGCCTGCCAGGCTCAGGTGGTTCCACCACCTCAGCTTCCCAAGTAGCTGGGACTACAGGTGTGTGCCACCACATTCAGCTAATTTTTTGTATTTTTGGTGGAGACAGGGTATCACTATGTTGCCCAGGTTGGTCTCGAACTCCAGAGCTCAAGCAATCCACCTGCCTCGGCCTCCCAAAGTGCTGGGATTACAGGCATGAGCCACCACACCCCGTCCACACCCATGTTTATAGCAGCAGTGTACATAGCAGCCGAGAGGTAGCAGCAACCCCAGTGTGCACAGAGAGATGAACAGATGCTCACAGTGTAGTCCATCCACACAATGGAATATGGTTCTGCCTTCCAAAGGAAGGGAATTCCGACACCTGCTCCAACATGAATGAATCCCAAAGACATTATACTAAGTGAAAGAAACCAGACACAAAAGGACAAATGCTGTGTGACTCTATTTACCTGCAGAACCTAGACTAGTCAAGACCACAGAGACAAAAGGTAGAATGGTGGCTGCCAGGCCCTGGGGGTAGAGGAAAAGGGGAGTTAGTGGATAATGGGCAGAGTTTCCATTTTGCCAGGTGAAGAGTTCTGCGGGTGGAGGGTGGCGATGGTCGCACACCCTGTGAATATACTTAATGCCACTGAACTGCGCACTTAAAAGATTATAAATTTTATATGTATTTTCATACATATAAAGTTATGTGTATTGCACCATAATAATTAAAAAAAACAAAGTCAGCTGTCATTGCTCTGAGAGAGGGAAGGGAGGGGACATCCCATGTGTACTGGCCTCTGAAGCCCCGGCTTGCGTGCGAGGAGCTGACCGTGGCTCCTGGCCAGGTGCTGGCACACCTGCCTTCTAGGCCAAATGGAGATCATTGCCAGTCTGCTCCCGTCCGCTGCCCTCCTCCCTGCCAGACACAGTCTGCTCGCTCGTTGCCCTGGCCCCTGCCCTGAGGAGCTGGGGAATGGGACAGCCGTGGGCCGCTGGTCATGAACATTCCCACCCAGCATGTGATGCTGGCTTCCTGCTGGGGTGGAGCCCTGGGCTGGCTCTGGCTCCTCTGCAAGTCCCTGGCCTCTTGGGAACTGTTTTCTGCATCTTTGCTCCAGCCCTGTGGGTGCCACTGGCTGTCATCCCTTGGCCCTCCATGCTGCCCCATTTTCAGAAGACTGCACATATGTGACCATTGACCCTCATGCCTGAGCTTCCAGAGGGGAAGGGGCGGGTGCAGACACAAGCCCAAGGCAGGAGTCTCATTTCGCAATCACAGGCCGTGCTCTGCGGGGGCTGTTGTCAGCAGCAGGGGCAAGGTTAGCAGCCCTGCTCCAGCCCTGCAAAGCCCATGCAGACCAGGGGATGCCTCCCAGGGGGCAGGGGGTCCAAGGCCTGATAACGGCCTCCTGGATGCAGACTTCCAGGCGGCCTGTCAGATGCAGACTTCCCGAGCAATTTCCAGATCTGCTTGGAGCTGGGAGGGGAGGGGTGAGGGAGCAGAGTCTGGCAGGAGAGTCTCGTAGGGATTGCACAATGAGGCCACAGCAGCCAGCCTCGAAGTCAGGCACTGGCCAGGGCCCCTCAGCCCGTGTCCTCACGGCCCCTGTGTGGAAGAATTCCATCTGTGCTCTGCCGATGGAAGGATTCTCCCAGCCGCGGGACACTGTGGCTCTTGGGACTCATCTGAAAAGTGTCATCCTTGGAGCCCTAGGGAGGGAGGGGTTGGGGTTGGCAGCCTTAGCACCCCATCCTGGCAGCCTCCTGCATCCGCTCCCCTGCAGGTCCCCGAGAGACAGGATGGATGACGATCCAAGTGCAAGCCTGGCAATTGGCCACCACTCTCGAAGAGGAAGTTCTCAGTTCCCAGGGCACCTTGAACCCACAGCCACCCCCACTCTGCTGCCCCCCTTGGTCCTGGAAGACCTGTTCCCAGGCTGGAGAGGGGATGGCAGCCTGAGCAGGGGGCAGGGAAAGGGGCCAAACAAAAGAGGAGGGGAGCAGAGGCCCCAGTGAGGCAGGAGGGAAGCGGGTGCCCAGGGGGAAATTCCTAAATGACAGGGGCCTTTCCAGAGGGCAGGAATTCCTATCGTGTGAAATAAGGAAGGAAGTGAATCTCCTCTGGGTTCCCCTCTCAGTCCCCTCCTACCCTCCCCACATGCCCCACCCCCGCGTCCCCCAAGACAGACCCCGAGAGACAGGGTTTGGATGGGGAAACTGAGGCCTGGAAATGGTGGTCTGCGCTGAGTGACAAAGCCGGCTTGATGATCAGGACAAGGTCCTGGAGTCTGGCCCTTGGGCCCCTCCCCTTCTGCCCGCTCCAGCAGCCTGTGGGGCCCAGCCCCAGCCTCAGAGGGGAAAAGACTCCAGTGGGAGTCCCACAGGCCTGGCTGGGAGCCCCACTCTGCTACTTAATGCGGTGTGACCCGGGTCAGCCGCTTCACCTCTTCGCATTTACGCATTTCAAGCAAGGCTGGACGATGAGAGGGGCACCAGGCCCTGTGCACAGCGCGCCGCCAGCACCCTGGCCAGCCGTGCAGCCCCCCTAGGGCGCCTCCTCAGAGGGGCGTCTGGGGGAGTTGGGGTGGGACCGGGTGCCCCCGCAGCTGGCGCGGAGCCAGTCTGTGACGCGGGAACGCGGTCAAGCGCTCCCCTTTCAGGCGGCCTATCAGAAGCAGTCGTCGGACAATGGTCCCGCGCCCGCCCCGCCAGCCCGGTCCTTCCCTTGGCGTCCCCCGCGCCCCACATAACATGCGACGCGCGGTCGGACCCCCCCTCCGCCTGGTTGCTGGGAGGAAGTGACCGCGCCCCGCATCCCCCGCTGGGCAGGCCGGGCGCGCCGGGCCCCAGGGACGCAGGGACACAGCGGGGCGGCACAGCGCCTGGGCCTGTGCCCGCGGGTTTTCCGCGGTTGCAGGGGACGGGGCGGGGCGGGCGGGGCGGGCGGGGCGGGGCTGCACTGGGACTATTTCAGACTGCGCGGAACTGGGGCCAGGACAGCGGCGGCCCGGCCAGGACGTGGTGAGTGACCTCTGCCTCCACGCGCCCATGCCCGCAGCTCCGCGCGGCTCCGCGCCCGCCCCGATCCGGAGGCTCCCCCGGATCCTGTCGCGGCGGCGGGGACAGGAGGGGCCGGGACGCTCCCAGGGCCCTGACCTCGGGCAGCCCCATTGCCAGGGAAACTGAGGCCCTGGAGCCAAGCGTCCGCCTGTCCAGGCACAGAGGGGTCAAGGTTGGCGCTAGCGGCTGAGGGCTGGGTCCTGCCAGAGACAGGGAGGGCGGGGCCGGGGAAGGCACAGGGGTCTCCCCTCCGTTAGCAGCAGGGAGGACCAGGTCCAGCGTGACTCCCCGGCCACGCGACACAGGCCAAGCCACTTCCTCACCTGTGCCTGGGTGCCTCATCTGGGCATAGGTGCGCCTTCCACATCCTGCCCAGGACTGAAGGAACCGGGCACAGGGAGCTCCTGGGAGGTGCAGCCCGGGCGGGGAAGGCGAGCCAGGCCCGTGGGCCTGAGGAGAAGCTGGGCAGCGGCAGGCGGGGCGCTGTTGAGCCACTGGCAGTGTGCACACGACGAGCCTCCGAGCAGATCCCTTCTGGCCTCCGTGGGCCCAACCAGCAGCGAGGCTCAAAGGAAAGCCCCTCCTCCCCTTCTTCGCTCCTGGCTGCACCCCCCGCTCTCCCGCCTGCAGGACAGACTCAGGGCACAAAAGACTCACCCCCACGGCCGTGCTGTGCGGTTTGGTCACATCCCTTCAGCAGCACTGTGAGGTGGGGGTCCTCACCCCCATTTCAAAGATGGGGAAACTGAGGCTTGCAAAGGAAGGAGGTGAGCAGTCCACGCACTAGTGAGAGGTGTGCTGAGCCCTCACCTTAACCGTTTCTCTTTCCATGGCACCAGCTGCCTCTGAGAGCACAGACCTGGCGGCTACAGCAGGACCTTGAGGCGAGCTGGGGTTTGTGTCACAGAGGGGAGAAGGTGGCAATGTTAAGGAGTCCTGTAGGAGCTGGGCCTGGGGTCGGATAGAGCCTAGCACATGTGGGGACTGAGGAGCTGCGTCCTATTGGGAGGGGTGGGACAGGAAACGCTGAGGTGAGGCTGGCAGGGAGCACTGGTGGTAAGGGCTGCCCTCCCCCACCCCAGGAGGATGGCAGAGGTGGGGCCTGGGTGCCCAGGGTGGGGCTGAGCTGCCCTTCCAGACAGACCAGCTCCTGTGGGTGCTTGGCATGCATCTGAGAGGGGCTGGGAGGCGAAGTTGGGGCACTGGGTGGGGGGCAGAGAGGCCCTGTGGCCTTGCCCCGGAGGCTCCCTGGAACACACCCCTCTTGGTCCTGGAGTGGAACGCTCAACCCAAATGGCACCTGGGAGGCCAGTGCCATCCAAGAGTGTGTGACTCTGCCCATGGCTCCTGGTGAGCATGGGGGAGGCTGGGGTGGGAGGAGCCCAGGTTTCTCATCCCTCAGGAAGCTCTGGCCAAGCCCCCCCAGGATGGGGACAGGGTATCGGGGCTGGTGGAGGCAGCAGGGCCAATCTGAGCCCCCATGCCTGCTGTGATCGGGGCAAACACCTCCTCCAAACTTAACTTCAGTTTCTCCTCTGGATGGTGGGTCATCCTGCCTGCCTTATGGGGGTGTTTCAGGGGTCACTTGAAGTTAACATGATACACGAGACAGGTTAACATGATATATGAGACAAGGCTGCATGTATTTAGCCTTGGGGTGGGGCAGCTATGGCAGCATGGTCACAGGTCACCCCAGTTTTCGGCGAGGCCCAGCCCCTGACTACTTCCCCCTTTCAGGTCAGCCATGCTCACCTCCAGGGGCCCTGCCTTACTGTGACAATGGCCAGGTGCTGGGTGGGGACTGGGGGAGGCTTGGGTCTTGCCTCTCCGGATGTAGCTTGCAGGGCTGTGGGGGATGTGGAGACAGAGGGAGAGCTGGGCTCTGGGACCAGGTGACCTGAGTTCCAAACCCAAGCTCTTGACCATAGGCACAGTTTAAGCCAAAATAACACCCTTCCGGACGAGAGAGGAAGAGATGGGATGGGCACCCAGAAAGGCTGCAGAAACCGGAAGCTTTTGTGATGATGCTGTCATCCCATTTGGGACTGGGTGGTTGGGGGTGGGGAGCCAGGAAGCCTGGGTTCTGGACCCGAGTTGCTGGTGACCTCAGGCAGCCCTGTGCTTCGCTGAGCCTCTTGCCCCCAGTGGTGTGTGAAAGGCTCTCTGAGGTCCTACTCCCTGTGGTTTCTGTAGACCCACGTCAGGCTCTGCCCTTTCATGGCCCAGTTGGAGCCGCTGTGTTTCTGTGACTCCATGGCTGGATCAGAACTGGGCAAGACAGCAGAGGGGCTGCGGCTAGGGAGAGCAGGGGGGCTTCCAGCCTTGGGCCGGCTTCCGGTGTCTAGACTCTGGCATGGCCCTGACCTTTCTGGACCTCTGTTCCTGCGCTGTCCCATGTTGTTCCTCTCCCCCAAGGGTCCTGTGGGGTCAGGGAGGTGTTCACCCTCTGCAGTCCCTGCTCCCTGCCCAGAGGGTGGGCTGTCAGGGAAGGATTTGCCCAAATAAAGGGAAGGCCTCCCTCTGTCTGGGGGGCGGTTCTGGGGCTTTGGGGTACTGGAAGGGCAGCTGTGGGTGGTGAGGCGCTTGTGGCCAGGGAGGGAGCAGGGTTCTGGGTGCTGATCTGGGCCAGGGCACGGCCAGAACCCTGGTGCTCGTATGGGTGAAAACAGACGGAGCGCCGTCAGTGCAGCCCCCACAGCTCTGGGCTCCGGCCTGGGAGCCAGGGCCAGGCCATGGTGACCACTGATGCCTTCCCCTCGCCCCCGCAGCAGCCTGGAGGCCTGAGCCAGGGGGATGCTGAAGATAATGACCTGCTTCCAAGGCTTCTCGGGCCATCAGTCTGTGCCAATCACCCTCGACTTCCCCAGAAGCCCCCAAAAGTTGCCGTCCACATCAGAGGCGGAGTCAGAGACCTCCATGTCGGAAGCCTCCTCTGAGGACCTGGTGCTACCCCTGGAAGCTGGGGCAGCCCTATACAGGGAGGAGGAAAAGGCAGTGAAGAAGAAGAAGTCCAAAGGCCTGGCCAATGTATTCAGTGTCTTCACCAAAGGGAAGAAGAAGAAGAAGGGTCTGCCCAGCTCAGCGGAGCCCGAGGGCGCGGCCGGGTCCAGGCAGGGGCTGGATGGCCCCCTGCCCACAGGTGCGCTGGGACCCGGGTGGGGCTGGGTCGGGGGTTAGAGCTAGTCCGGGCCTGGACGCGGTGGGGCTCGTCCATGTGAGTGAGCCACCTGCACCGTGGGCCGGCATGTGGGGCTGGCAGGCGTGTCTGTCTCCCTGCTTTCACCTGTGCCCCAGTCTGGGAGGCTGGGACGGGGGAGACCAGGCCTTCAGCTCAGTCCGGGACACCGACGTCACCCTTTGGGGTGTCGGCCGCCGGCCCTGCGCGCAACTGGGGGAGGACGGTCCCGCAGGGCGCAGGCGGGCGGGCTGGGGCGGGGGCTGACGCGGCTGTGCCGGCGCAGTGGAGGAGCTGAAGGCGGCGCTGGAGCGCGGGCGGCTGGAGGCGGCGCGGCCGCTGTTGGCGCTGGAGCGGGAGCTGGCGGCCGCAGCCGCGGGCGGCGTGAGCGCGGAGGAGCTGGTGCGGCGGCAGAGCAAGGTGGAGGCGCTGTACGAGCTGCTGCGCGACCAAGTGCTGGGCGTCCTGCGGAGGCCGCTGGAGGCGGCGCCCGAGCGGCTGCGCCAGGCGCTGGCCGTGGTGGCCGAGCAGGAGCGCGAGGACCGGCAGGCGGCGGCGGCGGCCGGGCCGGGGACCTCGGCGCTGGCGACCACGCGCCCGCGGCGCTGGCTGCAGCTGTGGCGGCGCGGCGTGGCGGAGGCGGCCGAGGAGCGCATGGGCGGGCGGCCGGCGGAGGGCGCCGAGGTCCCCGAGAGCGTCTTTCTGCACATGGGCCGCACCATGAAGGAGGACCTGGAGGCCGTGGTGGAGCGGCTGAAGCCGCTGTTCCCCGCCGAGTTCGGCGTCGTGGCGGCCTACGCCGAGAGCTACCACCAGCACTTCGCGGCCCACGTGGCCGCCACCGCGCAGTTCGAGCTGTGCGAGCGCGACACCTACATGCTGCTGGTCTGGGTGCAGAACCTCTACCCCAAGTGAGCGGGCGGGGTCGCCCGGGCGGGCCGGGAGGGCGTCCTCTGCAGGAGGCGAGTGAGCTGTGCCCCGCCAGCTTTAGTGAGGCGGTGCTTGCAGAGTTTTGGGTCCGACTGTGCGGGGGTGGCATTTGGACTCCCTGGGGCAGAGCCTGGACGGGCAGAGACTGGGCTTGGGCGCAGGGATAAGGCTGGGGCTGGGTCCGCTTTGCTCTTGGAATCCTTAATTTTCTGGGCCTCAGTCACATTCTGCTGTTGGGGAAACCGAGGCACAGAAAATGGTAGGGATTTCATTCATTCACGAGTGCCAGTCTGAGGAGTGGGCAAAGCAATCAGTAACCATGCAGAGCTGGAAGGGCTGTGGCAGCGGAGGCCAGGCCCTGAGAACCCAGAGCAGGGACCCAGAGCAGGCCTGGAGAAGTCAGGGAAGCCAGTCTGGAGGAAGTGGAAGCCAGCGGTTCTTCTCTGAGCCAGGGAATCAGGTGGGGAGGCTGGAGGAGGGGTGATAGGGCAGGCAGGGAAGAAGGTGAGAGGAAAGTCGGTGTTCCTTAGCATGTCCTCTTCCAGGGCACTCTGGGGCTGAGCAGAGCTTGCCAGAGTGTTTGGATTTACTGGGGGGGCTATGCGGGCACCCCCAGGCAGGAGAGTCCACAGTGGGGGGGAAAGGGCCAGGTGTCTTGTTGGAAAGACCCCCATTGTGTGGGGTTACCGTGTGAGCCCCCAGCAGAGCTGGAGCCCTCCGGCAGGAGTCTAGCTGTGCAGCTGCTGCCCCCAGGTGCAGCCTCAGGCATCCCCTGACTCCATGGGTCCCTGGGCGTGCCCATCATGCACATGGTCTGCATGGAGAGAGGTTTGGACTGCTGTGTGGACAGGCCCAGGGCGGGGGAGTCCAGGGGCTGTTATTGTGGGGCTTGGCCTCTGCTGGCCCCAGATCCTAGTGCGAAGTCTTAGGAAGGAAGCCGGAGGTGTAGACAGTGTGGGCAGTGTCTGCCGCCTTGGGGGCCTTTGGGTGGCCTATGGGCTCAGTTGGTGTTGAAGGGTCAGCCTCTGGCAGGACAGAGAAAGGGTCCAGTGGGGAGGGTGGGACAGGGTGAGCAGGGCATAGGGGAACTGGCACAGGGCAGGGGCCGTGGAAGAGACAGCCTAGCCCAGAGCCAGTGCCCGCTTGCTCGTCCTGACTCACCAGGATGTGCTGGGTACCTGTGCCCCTTCCTGCCCGTCTTCCTGTCACAGCAGCCTCGGGGTCTGTTGGCCTGGGGTTAGCAAAACAGGTAGCAAAGGCAAGCTGGGCACGGAGTCCTGGTGAGAGGGTGTCCGGGGGGCGTCACTGAAGTTTCTGTGCCAGAAATGTGGGGAACAGAGGGACACAGCTGCGTCTGGATTTGGTTAGGGGCAGAGAGGAGGTCATTGTAAGCCTCTAGGCAGACAAAGGTCTCTTAGGAAGTGCCAGGGCTGGGCAGTCCCCTGGGAGCTCTGGGACCCTGCAGAGGTGTGGAGAGTGTGAGCTGAAATGCCTCTGTGGAGCAGTTTGGCATGGCCCTTCCTGCCCATGATGTCCCACCCCTGGGGTTGGGAGGTGGCTGGGGCTGGCACGCAGTGGGCTGGCAGCTGGCTGGATCCCAGGGCTGCTGTGACTAGGAGCAGTGTTTTGTCTGGGTGACAGGTAGCCTCAGAGCAGGAAGACCAGGTCTTAAAGATGGCTCTGGCTACTGGGTGGAGAAGGACCAGTTGGAGGTGAGGGAAGGAGCAGAGGCCAGGAGGAGGCTTGTGCAGTGAGCCAGTGGGGAGCTGGGGGCAGCCAGCCGGGGCACCTGGGTGGTTTGAGGCTGCCGACTTGGTGGGGGGGGGGTATTCTGGAGCAGGACCTAAAGAGCAGGGTGACAGTCAGAGGAGGCACGATGACTTCGGGGTTTCTGTTCCAAACCAAACTAGACGGAAGACCCATGGTCTGGGGTGGGAATCGAGGTGGGGGTGCGGGAGGGTGCGCTGGGCCGAGTCTGGGCCTGCCAGAGACCAAGGCTGAGGGCCTGGGCTCTTGCTTGGGTGGTGCTGAGTGGGTATAGCTGTCCTCATGCCAGCCTCCCCTACCTGCAGTGACATCCTCAACAGCCCCAAGCTGGTGGGTGAGCTGCAGGGTGTGGGGCTCGGGAGTCTCCTGCCCCCCAAGCAGGTCCGGCTGCTGGAGGCTACATTCCTGTCCAACGAGGCGGTGAGTCTGCACCTGAGCCAGGGAGGGGCAGGGAGGCGCCAGAGGAGAGGCTCAGAGACAGACAGAATGTGGGCAGGGGCTTCCGGGTGAGCAAGGTGAGGGGTCAGCACCGCCATGACCTGCCCTTCCCGCCCAGGCCAATGTGAAGGAGTTGATGACCCGAGCGCTGGAGCTAGAGGCGCAGCGCTGGGCTCAGGACGAGCCTCCCCAGAGGCTGGATGGCCACTGCCACAGCGAGCTGGCCATCGACATCATCCAGGTACTGCGCTCTGCCCCGGGGCACACACACAAGGAGCCGCACGCACATTCCCTCCTGTGTGCCGACCCACGCCCACCTCGGGCAGCCCCTCTGTTCCAGCCTGTGTCCTCCCCGTACCCTGCCCCTTGTCCAAGAGAGCCCTTGCTCAGCTCACCCACCGCCCCGCAGATCATCTCCCAGGCCCAGGTCAAAGCCGAGAGCATCACGCTGGACTTGGGCTCGCAGATAAGGCAGGTGTTGCTGGTGGAGCTGCTTGTGTTCCTGAGGAGGTGAGTGTGTGCCCAGGACGGGGTCCCTGTAGCCACCTCTCTCAGAGCCATGGCCCCTCCCTAAGTGCCCCTATCCCTCATTCTGAGCCAGGAGTCATTTCCCACCCAGCCAGGGCACTGAGATCTCAGGTGGTCCGACCTCTACCAGGATTCAATGTGGGAGGCTCATGTGTCCACCCTGCAGCAAAGCTCCCATCAGAGCAGCCTCCTGGCTTCAAAGATGCCCTGTGAGGGGCTGAGACCCCAGCACCCCTTCACACAACACCCCAGTCTGCACTGCCCGAATTCTCTCTGCTCTCTCCCTCTCCACCTCTGAGGGCTTCTCCACCCAACCATACCTACCCTCACCGCTACCTGGACTCCCAACTCTAGCGGGGGCCTGGGAGAAGAGCTGGGGGCAGCAGAGCTGGGCTGGGACCCTCTTCGGGAGCCCTGGTCTTAGCTTCTGACGCCAGTTCTATGATGCTCAGGGGCTAGCGGCCCCTCTCTGGGCGATGGGGAGCCAAACAGAAAAGCGCCCTGTGAACCCCAGGAGCTCTCGGCAGGGCGGCTGGGAGGCTGCTGCTGCCCCAGGGTCTGTGCTGGTCCTGAATGTGCCCCTTCTGACTTCGCCAGCTACCAGCACAACTTTAATGAATTTCTGGAGAGAGGCAAAAAGCTGAGAAGTTACAGGGCCAACGTCATTGCCAACATCAACAACTGCCTGTCCTTCCGGTGCGTGTTGGGAGGGGCTGGCGGAGCGGGAGTCACTTGGCGGGTAGGAGAGGATAGCTGGGAGGTGGAGGAGGAGGAGCTGCTCAGGCCAAGAAGTGGAATTCAAACCAGGACGTGAGAGGAAGCCGCTGGGGCCTGTAGCAGAAGCAGCAGCAGCAGCAGCTAACATTTCCCCAGAGCTGGCTGGGGCGTGCACACAGGCAGGTGTTTCACCTGTTACTTTATCCCTAAAGCAACGCTGTGAAGAAGGAACAGTGATCTGGCTATTAGGCAGATGGGCAAACCACTGGAGGAGGCTAACTCGCCCTCAGTTACAAGGGGATGCAGTGGACGGGTGTCGTGAGGGCATGGAGAACATGGATGGGAGGACTTGATCCCCAGGGAATGGGGAGCCATTGAGGGTTCCAGAGTGGGGAGGGGGCGCTGCCTGGCTCCCTGGGTACAGGGCTATAGGCTGGTGTGACCTCTCTGCCTCCATCTTCCAGGACGTCCATGGAGCAGAAGTGGCAGGTACCCCAGGACACCCTGAGCCTCCTGCTGGGCCCCCTGGGTGAGCTCAAGAGCCACGGCTTTTCCACCCTGCTCCAGAGCCTGTGCGAGGACCTGAAGGTAGCGGGAGCCTTTTTCCCTCAGGAGCATCTGGAACTCCATGTTGGGGGTGCTCGGGGAGGGGCTGGGAGGTGCCCCCCGGGAGGAGTGGCAGAAGCAGGGATGTGGGGGAGATATGCTGCAGGCCTGTGGACGGCACTGTGGCCAGCTCTGGTGCAGGGGTGACGCCTGGTAGTAGGGACCCCGCAGGCTTTAACTCCATCCGCCACCACAGGCTTGGCCTGAGAGGGGCCGCCTGGGGCTGAGAGGGCCCGGAGAAGGTTCACCGCCCCTCCCCCATTCAGACCCAGCCCAGTCCCAAGCCTGCAGCCCCTTTTCCTCCAGCCCCCACAGCCCTTCCTCCCCACCCCTGTCGCCACATCAGACTCCCAGAACTGAGGCTCAGGGCTCGCATCTGTTATGGGCCAAGAAATCCACAGAAAATGCTGTGAACACAAGTTAATTCCTTTAACAGGGGGTAAAGTGGGGGAAGGGGAGGGGTTCCCTGCCCAGTGTCAGGGACCAGAGGCCATGGGTGGCCTGAGTTTGGTGGAAGCCCGAGCAGTGACCCCAGATCACTCGGCACCGATCTCCCAGGCCCAGCCAAGCACAAGGTCCTGTTTATGCAGGAATTTATTTATTTAGGAGGCAGTGGACTTGGCCTCAGGGCCGCAGACAGGCTGTCCTGGCTCCTGAGCCAAAGCTGGGTGACCTTGGAGAAGGGTGCACAGAGCTGGCCCCCACTTCCTGTCTGTAGCAGAGACCTGAGCTCGGTCCGGGTTCCCTGGGAGTCCTTGCGTGCCCCGTGCCCCTCCGCCAGGCACGTGTGTTGGTGTGTGTATGTCTGCGTGTCTGTGGCTGGCAGCCCTTCCTCTCCAGGGTGTGACCACACATCCTGCCTCTCCTGTCTCAGCCGCTGTTCAAGAGGTTTTCGCACACCCGCTGGGCGGTCCCCATGGAGACCCTGGAGAAAATCATTGCCACTGTGGGAGTAAGGCTGCCTGAGTTCTCGGAACTGCAGGACTGTTTCCAGAAGGTGAGGAGGCTGTGGGCTGGTGGCTGGGCCTCGGGGAATGGGGGCAGCCGGATACGCACACTAACATGTCTGTGTACACTCCCTCACACGCGCCCACTGCTCGCCCTCCCAGGAGCTCGTGGAGGCCGTGCACCTGCACCTGGTGAAGGAGTACATCATCCAACTCAGCAAGCGGCGCCTGGTCCTCAAGACCGCGGAGCAGCAGCAGCAGCTGGCGGGGCACATCCTGGCCAATGCTGACGCCATCCAGCACTTCTGCACCGAGCACGTAAGCCCCTGCCCGCCCTCCCAGCCCCTCTGGAACGGCTGTCTCTTCTGCCCTTGTCCTTTCAGGTCAGAGACAGGCTGTTGGTGCCTCTCCAAGCCCAGCCCATTGCTGACCCAAGCCTCTGGACCCCTGGGTCCCTCCAACCACGTCCCTTCCTGCAGGGCTCCTGTGCAACCTGGCTGCAGCCTGCTCTCCCCACACTGGCCGAGATCATCCGCCTGCAGGACCCCAGTGCCATCAAGATTGAGGTGGCCACTTATGCCACCTGCTACCCTGACTTCAGGTGAGAACATGGGGCACCTCAGGACCACGTCACTTCACTGCAGCCGGGGCCTCACAGGGCTGGCATTGGGAACCCAGATCCTGGCAGCTGCCCGCATGCCAGTCACTGTGTGAACCTCACCAGGGGCTCACTCTTGTGGCCTTCGCCACAGCCCTATGAGGCCAATGCGTTCCATTCCCATTTCACAGGGGAGGCCTGGAGAGTTCCCAGCATGTGTCCAAGGTGACACTGGCTACATGGCCCACACTCTTAGCTCTGCCTGATGCTGCCTCTCGAAGGGGAGATTGAGACCAGAGAGGCCAGGGTCACCCAGCCTGGGGGCTTCTGGGGCCTGGGCCTATGCCCTGGGATCCAGGGCTCATATTCAGGAGTGGAGGCTTAGCCCCTGGCTGCCTGAGGGCCTGGTAAGCCAGGGACAATGTTTCTCCCTGGGCTGGGTCTTCTGACATGTTAGGCTCCATCTGAATGGGTCTTGACTGGGGTTGACCCCAACTGCCCCAGCTTAGCCAAGTCCAGGCCCTGTCTGATCCATTCCACCCAACCAATCATTCACCCACCCATACAAGCACCCATCTGCTCATCCACCCATTCCTTCATCCATTGGCTGGCTAGCTATCTTCTCACCCACCAATCTACCTATCTACCCATCTACCCACATGCCCATCTATCCATCCACCCACCCATATAAGCACCCATCCACCCACCCATGCACCCCTATAAGCACCCATCCACCCATCTATCCACCCACCCACCCATCTACCCATCCACCCTTCCACCCATCCCTCCACCCCTCCACCCATCTGGCTATCCTTCTACCTTCTCACCCACCTGTTGCATGTCTACCCACCCACCCAACAATCTATCCATCCATCTATTCATCCACCCACCACCCATATAAGCACCCATTCACCCATCTACTCATTCCTTCACCCATCTATCCCTTCACCCATTGGCTATCCATCCACTCAACCACACACCCATGCATTTATTCACATCCATGCACCTATCCCTCCACCCATCTGACCGTCTGTCCTCTCACCCACCAATCACTTGTCTATGCAACCACTCACCAACCTATCTACCCATCTATCCATATATCCATCCACCCACCCACCCATCCATCCATATATCCATCCACCTACCCGTATAAGCACCCACACACCCATCTTTCTACCCATCTGTTATTCCAACCACCCTCGTAAGTACCCATCCACCCATCTACTTATCCACCCATCTAGCTATCCAGCCACTCAAACTCCCACCCATGCATCTTTTCACACCCATGCACCCATCCCTCCACCCATCTAGCTCTCATCCATCTGCTCACCCACCCATCATCCATGTACCCGTCCCACCAACAAAATTATGGAGGAGCCTTCGAGGTGTCAGCCTCTGTTCCAGATACCAGGATGCAATGGGGTACAAGCAAGGCCAGGTCTCCATCCTCCCTTAAGTAGCTCACATTCTGCTTAGGGCCAGCAATAGTAATGACATAATCAGGCAAAGAAACAGACAACTGCAAGTTGTAAAGACGTTTAACCAAGGTTGTGAACGATGGGAGGTGCTGAGTTTAGAGACAAGAAAGCCTCTTGGGGGTGGACATCCTAGCAGAGATGTAAGGGGTAGGAAGAGACGATCATCTCACAGCCTGGGAAGAGCATCGCAGGGAGAACAGCCAGTGCGCAGGCCCGAAGCAGGCTGGGCCATGGCTGCTCTTGGGACCACCAGGTGGAGTGCATGGGCGAGGGAGAGGGAAGTGCAGCCCCCTCGTGGACCGGGCCGTGGCTGTGGGGCCTGTGGCACTGGCTGAGAGTGCAGGGAGCTGGCGAGCAGGGGTGTGGGTGTCAGGCTGGGCTAACGGGATGCTTTCCTCATCAGCAAAGGCCATCTGAGCGCCATCCTGGCCATCAAGGGGAATCTATCCAACAGTGATGTCAAGAGCATCCGAAGCATCTTGGACGTCAGCACAGGAGCCCAGGAGCCCTCCAGGCCCCTATTTTCCCTTATAAAGGTTGGTTAGCTTTTCCTGTGGCCTGACCTGCTTGTGAGTGCCCAGCAGGCATCCGGAACACCCCTCTAGGAGCTGTTAAGAGCAGCACTGGCTCTTGGGCCTCCTGCGCTCCGAAGCTGCTCTGCCTAGCCCTGGTGTAGGTGCAGGCCCTGGTGGCTGGAACTGGACAGACTTTGGTTTGTTTAGAAGTCCAGTGGGGGTAGGAGGCCCCATTGTGGGCAGCCAACCAGGCAACACCAAGGACTCTTTGTAAACGATAGCTGATCCTGCGCGCAAGGAAAGACCCAGCAGGGAGAGTGCGGCCAGGCTCAGGGACCCCTGGCCACCTCTGTCCAGCGCCCTCCACTGTCAGCCTCATGACTCTCCTCCCCGTGAGTGAGGCCGAGTAAGGCCGAGGGCCCTCTCCAGCTCCCTGATGACAGTGGCCGAGCCTCACCCATCTGTACTCTTCAGCCCGGAGCCACCCTGAGCCGGGTTCAGCAAGGCTGGAATGGAAGACAGAACCGGAAGAGAAAGAAGGAAAAGATGAACTCTCATCTGGCAGGGGCTAGTGGGGTCCCATGGCGAGTTGGGGGCACAGCCGGCATTAGATGTCACACCCAGACAGCCCCAACGCCCCTATAGGCTGGCCCTGCAGTGGAGCCCTGACCTCGCTCTGCATCCCCGCAAGGCCTCACCCAGAGGGTGTTCCCCAAGGCCTTGGTGTCCTCCACAGAAGGGCTCGGGACCTCCTGCGTCATCTCGGGCTCCCCATTCCCCCAGCAGGATTAGGCCCTGGGGGTGCCTCTGTGGGCCCTGCCACCCAAAAGTCTGGCTGAGGTCTGGGCAGGGACAGGACAAAGTTGACCTTTGACCTCTGACCCTTTGGCCTCTGTTTCCTATTGCCATGATAGGTTTCCACAAACTTCATGGATCGAAATGAGGTCCTCCACTGCGGGTCAGAGGCTGACCGGGGGCGCAGATCTGGGTGTCGGCAGGGCTGCGCTCCTTCTGGAGGCTCAGGGGAGAATTCATTTCTAGCCTTTTCATTTTTAGAGGCTGTCGTACTTCCTGACTTCAGACCCCTCCAACTCCAGAGCCAGCTGTGGGTGGCTGAATCCTTTTACCATCACCTGATCGAGGCCTCCCCTCTGCTGCCTCCCTCTACCGCTTTTTGTTTTGTTTCGTTTTGGAGACAGGGTCTTGCTATGTTGCCCAGGCTGGAGTGCAGTAGCCTGATCATGGCATCCAGGCTTACTGCAGCCTGGACCTCCCGGTGCAAGTGGTCCTCGCCTCAATCCCCGAGTAGCTGGGACTACAGGCCCACACCCCCAAGCCCAGCTACTTACCTGTTGTAGATACAGGGTCTCGTTCTGTTGCCTATGCTTATCTGGAACTCCTGGGCTCAATCGACCCTGTAACCTTAGCCTCCTAAAGCGCTGGGATTATAGGTGTGAGCCACGGCGCCCAGCCTGCTCTGCCGCTTTTAAGGACGCCTGTGATCACATCCAGCCTACCCAGAGAACCCAGGTCATCTTTCTATTTTAAGGTCAGCTGATTTGCCACCTTAGTTCCATCTGCAACTTTAGCTCCCACTGGCTGTGTGACCTAACGTAGTCACAGGCTCTGGGGACTGTCACGTGGAGGCCGTTATTCTGCCCACTGCAGCCTCTGTTCATCCCCTGTCCTGCAGGGCACCTCGCTCTACCCCAGGGAAACACGAGCTCTGTTTAAGGCCCTGCTCCTCCCTGGGCCTGAAAGTTCCCTCTCAGCCGGAGAGGGGGCCCTTCAGACTCAGGCATGACTCAGCCTCGATGAGGCCTCTGAAGTGCTGAGTCAGGGTCCGTCCCCTTTTCCCAGGTACTCCCTTATGAAGCTGTAGCCAGGAACCTGCTCGTATACGTGATGCGCAGTCTTTACATTTGTAGGAGTTGGTGTTTTTGATATTGTTAATATATATATATTTTTTATAGTACTGCTTTTCTATATGTGTGGAACAGGATCCAGGTTTTTATAGCTTAATATAAAACAATTCAAAATCGGCTGTGGAGTGGCTTATTTGGGGAGCTGCACTATGATGGGGGCTGGGGAGTGGCCTTAGCGGCTTTCTCAGCCTCTTGGTCTGGGCTAACCCTGTCTTCCTAGGCTCTGTGTCAACCCCCAGACTGTCCCTGCCCCCAGAGCATCTCCTGTGGTCCCAGCAGGACATGTCCCGCACCCTCTCATCCTCACTGTGAGCAAGAGCTTTGGAAGTGTCTGCCTGCAGGGCGTGGCCAGTCACTTCACTCTTCTGTACCTCAGTTTCCTCATCTGTAAAGAGGGGATCATGACCCCTTGGGGCTTCTTCCACCATCCATTACTGAGGAAGAGACTGGGGTGGACACAGGGCGTCCATTTAACCCCATGCATGCATCGCAGTGGGAACTGACTCTTAACGTTTCTGGAATTGACCTGAAAGCTACAGCTGTGATCACAGGGCCTCTGGTTTGCGTTGAGAGGGCCTCAGCTGCCAGGGAAGGAAGGGCCTCTTTACACCCCAGTCTGGCCTGGAATTTGGGAAGGAGCAGAGTGCCTGGGAGGGAAGCAGGGTACCTTGGTGAACGTTGCAGGAGGCTGGAGGAGGGCCCCAAGGGGAGCTGTGTGGGCCTGAAGAAGGGTCCTGCAGAGGGTGTGGGCTTCAGTAGGGCCTGGGGGGCAGGGAGCTGGAGCAGCAGGGACCTGGGGTGGCAGAGGGGAGGCTCTTTCTCGAGAGTTCCATTTTCGGGGCCAAAGGGGATGGCATGGGGCCCACCGTGCAATGACAGAAAAGGAGGGAGAGGAGGGTCAAGGGTCGGGGCAGTGCGGCTTGCCTAGGAGGGGGACGCCAGGAGACCCTCTGCCTGGCTCCTGGGCCTGCCCGTCCATGTGGCTGCGGGTCCTGGCCTGGTTGAGCCTCGCGGGGATCGGTTCTTAGGCCTCGGACCAGCGTGTCCTGCTCCTCCCCTCGGAGTGGGGGGCAGCACAATCCTCCCCTGCAGGGCCCCCTGACCCCGTGTGAGCTGGCGGGGTCGGGGGTGGGAAGGGGAGATGGGGCTTGAGCCCCAATGGAAGCTGTCAGTGGGCCCTGGCAGACATTCACCCAAGGGTGGGGGGGACTTAGTTCCCAAAGCGACTCCCAGCCTCGCGGGGGCCAGGGCGGGCCGAGTCTTCGGAGCGCGGCGGGACTCGGGGCCAGGTGAACCCCCCGGGCTGCGCATCCCCCCCACACCCCCCGCAGAGGGGCGGGCTCCCGGCGCGAGGTCCCGGGAAAGGAGGAAGAGGGTGCGGCGGCGCCTCGGAGGTTCCTGCTGTTCCTGCCTTTGGGGCGGGGCCTTCCGGGTCAGTGTCCTGCCGGCGCTCGAATCTGCACCCCCCACCCCATCACCCCGTAACTTCTCCAGGAAGATCTCCGGAGAGGAGTGTCTGCTGGGCCGGGAGGAGGGAGTCCCCGGGGCGGGGACTGGGCGGCCCGAGCGGGGCCGGGGCCAACGCCCGCTGCTATTGGTGCGAGGACCGGCCCCCGGCTCCTGGGAGCAGGGGGTGAGCGGGGAGGTCGCGGGCCCCGCGGGACACCGGGGCCCGGGCCTCCAGCAGTGGGGAGCAGCCGGCCAGGGTCTCCCTGCAGGGGCCAGGACCAAGCAACCGAGCAGCTCGGGTGCAGGCGCAGGGGACGGGCCTGGGGTCCCCGGGGCGAAGGGGCGGCTCTAGGGGACAGTCGCTGGAGCCCCGGTCCTGAGGAGCGGCCTGGACCAGACCCGGGCGGGGGGGTCCGGCGCTGCAGCGGGGGAGGAGCTTGCGGAGGCCAGCGGCGGGAATGGGGAGGGATTCCAGGTCTGAGGCAAAGAAAGAGGGCAGGGCTGGGGAAGGGAGGTCGTGGACCGGGAGCTCGCAGGAGGAAGGAGGGGGCTGTCAGGGCAGCTCCTTCCAGCTGTGGAGGGGAACTGGGAGGGGCTGGAGAGGTGATTTTCGGCTCATGGGATTTACCGCTTGGAAAGACCCTCTGCCCTTCATGGGCGCTGGGGTTCCCAGGGGAGAGATGAGGGCGGCAGCGAGGGCACCCCCGTGCAGTGAGATGGAGGGGGCTCTAGGTGGGCTGAGGGAAGGAGCCCGCCAGGGCCTTCTAAGAGACCCAAGGGAGCCAGGCTGGTGGGGCTGCTTCTAGGGACAGGGGAGACCTGGGCCGAGGTTAGGGGGACAGGTCTGTCTGCGGGTGCGTGCTGGCTCGCCAGGATGTTCCCAAAGTCTTCTCTCGTTTTCTTATTTTTATTTTTTCCTTCTTTTCACAGGTATTGACCCAAAGTATTTTCTGTCACGCCTGGCCATTGCCCTGGACCAGGCGTCCCCAAACTACAGCCCGCGGGCCGCGTGCGGCCCCCCTGAGGCCATTAATCCGGCCCCCGCTGCACTTCAGGAGGTGGCACCTCTTTCATTGGTGGTCAGTGAGAGGAGCACAGTATGTGGCGGCCCTCCAACAGTCTGAGGGACAGTGAACTGGCCCCCTGTGTAAAAAGTCTGGGGATGCCTGCCCTGGACCCTCATCCCGGCCGAATACCACACATCTCCAGAAACCCGGCAGGTGCCAGCAGCAGGGGTGGCCTTAAAACCCTGCTTAAACAGGAGAGCCAGGGCCTGCCCCAGTACAGCCAGCCTAACACCAGGGCTCATCAAAGACACTGCCTCATGCCTGCACCTATGCAGGATCAGCAGAGGTCTCTCCCAACCTCACACCCACTCCCAGAAACTCACTCTTCCACTCCCAATTCCACTCAGTCTCTGTGGAATTGGGGGCCCCTTCTTCTGGTATTATGTTTTCAGAACTCACAGGAACACAAAAGAAAAACTTACCCAGGAGAGAAAATTGGGTCAAACATTTAACATCTCATTCAAGTCTTGCAATGATGGCTATACGTGTTTTTGCTAAGTAAGTCTTCTATTTATTTATTTATTTTTTACACAGAATTTTGCTCCTGTTGCCCAGTCTGGAGTACAGTGGCGTGATCTCAGCTCACTGCAACCTCCACCTCCTGGGTTCAAGCAATTCTCCTGCCTCAGCTTCCCGAGTAGCTGGGATTACAGGCATGTGCCACCACGCCCCACTAATTTTGTATTTTTAGTAGAGAGGGGGTTTCTCTATGTTGGTCAGGCTGGTCTTGAACTCCAAACCTCAGGTGATCCGCCCGCTTCAGCCTCCCAAAGTGCTGGGATTACAGGTGTGAGCCACTGTGCCCAGCAGTAAATCTTCTATTAATCATTTATTTTTTAAAACTTTGAGATGTCTGCAGACCGGCCATGTGGTTCATGAGAGTGACCAATGCCTCAGTGAGTGATAACGCTGTGTGTGTGAGGCTGTCAGCCACCAGGGGAGCTCATCGCTTTGGGGGCATTATTTTGCACACCGCCTGTGAGCTCACGGTTCAGGCTGACAAATGCAGCAACTTGTGAGGCAGCCATTCCCCTTCCAGGAATGTACCTCTCCATGCGCTGGCAGCTATACAATGTGGCTTCAGCGCCGGGCTAGTCCCTTCAATTACAGTAGCAAAACACTGGAAACTCCCTCAATGCCCACTGCAGTCACCGGGGAATCACTACAGTGCACCCAGACAATGGAGTACTATGCAGCTGTAGAAAAGAATGAGGACGTTCTCTCTGTTCTGTTGTTGAAATTCAGGGCATACAATGTTAAATGAAAAAAACAGTGCAGAGCAGAGTTTGTGTGGGGTGTGTGTGTGAGAGAGCTAGACGGGGAGAGGGAGGGAGGAACAGCATTGCATGGGGACAGAGATTAGGCAGGAGCTATTTCACTGTATATCTTGTAACTTTTCGCTGTGAGCCATGTGAATGTGTTATGTTATTAGCATTTTATAACTGAACATTTAATTGAGGAACTGAAAGCAGTGTTGCTGGAGACTGGAGGAGACGATACTTCAGTGTCTGGCGCTGGGCTCGACTCGCCGTGGGCAGCGCCTCTTTGAAGCGGGTTTATCAGGAACCCATGACTTTCTCCAGCCAAGCTCAGCGCTGGTGTGCAGGCTGCAGTCACAAGGTTGGGTTTAATGAAGACTGGTTTTGCCAGGCCATCGCTCTGGAGGATCATAGCTGAGCCGCGGGAGCGGCTTGCCAGGAAGAAGTCACTGACGGGCTGTCGGGTCTCACTGCAGGGAGGGTGGGGGCATGTGTGAGGGGCTGAGGGCTCGAGGCAGCACAGGGTCAGAGGATGGAGGTTGTGGAGGTGGCTGGGACTGCTGGGTATGGCCACTGGAATCCATGAGTGCAGGGACAGGGGCTCTGGTCACAGAGGGAGACCCTTGCAATGGAGGCTGTGGAGGCGCTGCAGTTCCTGGTGAGGACAGTTGGAGTGTGAGCCTGGGAGGGTGTGGCTGACATCCTCAGGAGCTGAGGGCTCGAGGAACTGGAGGGGGCCTGTGGATGTTCATGGAGGGGTGGAGGGGGCAGTGGGCAGGGACTGACGTCCTCTGAGGTGGAGAGGAGAGGCTCAGAGGTGAGCAGATGACCACGGCGACGAGGAAAGCGGAGCTGGCTGAGAGGTGGCCTGCCCTGTGGTCGCTAAAAGGTAGTCGCTAAAAGGCCGCAGCCTCACCTGCTAGCGTCTGCCCCTGGCCCTAGGAAAACGGACAATCCCCAGATTTAGTGGCTGGATCTGGCTTGGGAGCCGCTGTGCCAGAGCCTCAGCTGGGAAGGCTGAGGCGTGGTGACTCCAGGAGGGAAGGAGCCCGGGGTGCCTTCCAGGTAGGTGGTATAAATGTCGAACCTGCTTAAAGGACTGCAGTGAATCAGAGGTCAGCCCCCCTCTACAGACAGTCATTGTCCCTGCAGAGACACCTGCAGGGCCTGGGACAATCCAGTGTTGGGAGGACGTAGGGACACTGTCTCAAGGGGTCCGTCCAGGACTCCATTCCCGCTGGGCGGAGGGCGAGTTGACTGATCGCTTGCGCTGCCCCCGAACGCGGGACCCACAGCCTCTCTATCAGCTGCTCCTGAGTACCCGGGTCTGCCGAGACCCCAG